GAAGCTGCGGCAAGCATGGACAGAGGACCTGGTGCAGCACCAGGACAGCGGGGGAGGCCACTCTGAGCCGCCCGTGTCCCTGTGGGCTGCAGGCCCACCAGAAGGAAGTAGGGTGAGGCCCGAGGCCAGCCCACAGCTTCCTGTGGTCTCCCCCTTCCACAGGATCCTTCCTCAAACGAGCCGCAGGCTGCATGGACCGTAAGCCACATCTCCCAGCCCTGCTCTGTCTTGGTGAGTAGGGGTGGGGGTGCCCACGAAGGCTGCAGGGGTCAGGGACGAAATCCTGCCAGGCTGGGCTGCTCTCACCAGTATGTCTCTCCAGGCCTGCGTCTGGCCCAGAGCGTGTGGGAGCAGAAGGGTGCGTGTCCCTCTGAGCACTTCTGAGGACAGCACTGTGGCTAGGCAGACATGGCTCTCCTGGCAGCTGAGGGGGAGTGGAGACAGTGCCTCTGGAAGCACCTGACGCTCCCCTCCTCCTAGGAGACCTCCCCACGCCTCAGGTCACAGCCCTGCCTGAGGCCGTGGTTTCGTGGAGGACAAACATGGCTTCCTGTGCCAGGGACCTCGGCCTCCCTCATGCCCTGCTGGGAACCAGCCGTCCAGGCCATGGTGAGTGGGCAGGGAGGACAGTGGCTGGGCCGGGGCATCGGCACCTGGGCTTAGACTGAGGCGGTGAGGAGGCCACACTGTGGGCCACTGCCGCAGGCCAGGAAGGGCCACAGGAGATGAACAGAGAGAGGAACTTTGCCGGCGGCAGAGCTGCTGTGGTGCTGGTGTGGAGCAGCCTCCAGCCGCTGAGTCACTGGGTCTGGCAAGAACCTATAAAAACCTCCAGGTGACCCTGGCTGAGCAGAGAAAGAGAAACCTGCTGGTTCCCCGTTTCAGTTCCTCCCAAAGCCTCCAGCTGACCCAGGCCAGACACTCCAGTGCTGCGTGAGGAGTGGCGGAGTGGGAGGGAGGGCTGTGTCTCCGCTTCTCGCTTGGGCTGGAAGGACTGTCTGTCCAAAAAGAGCAGTTTTTTAAGAGGGTTTCTCAGGGCAGGGGCAGGGAGAGACCAACCCAGCAGAATTGTGGGGCTGTCTCCATGAGGGGAAGACGGGAGGTCAAGGAAGATCTTATGGCCACCACCACCTCAATCCATATCCCCAGTGTTCCCAAGAGCTGCAGCACCCATTGCCTCCCACCCAGTGCTCATGTCAGCCCAGGACATTGGGTAGCTGTGGAGAAGCCGGTCACCCTCCCTGTGGCTGTGCAGCCGGGACCAGGTCAGCAAACTCTGCAAGGACATCACGGTGGAAAGGTAAGTTGGGACAGGTTAAAGGAGTTTGTGTTCTTGAAAAGAAAACACTCGCCCCTTCATTTCACTGAGTTTCTCCGTAAATGTCATTCATCTGTCAGTCATCACAACCCGCCACAGCCGCTCTGGGGCCAGGACCCGCCCCTCCCTCCCTCCCCTCTGGTAACTGCCATGTTTTTCAGAGTCTTCAAGTTATTTTTGGTGTGTTTTTCTAGTTTTTTTTGCTTATTTATATTCCACAAATAAGTGAAACTCCCCAGTAATTGTCTCTCACTTTCTGACTTATTGCACTTAGCAGAATCAGCTAAAGTCCCATCTATGTTGTCCCCAAAGACATCACTTCATAGTTGTCAAGGCCGAGCAGCAGTCCCTTGATTATGTATTCTGATTCCTTTATCCAGCCCCTATCGAGGGGCACTTGTTGGCCAGTCCCGTGTGTTAGGAACTGCAGACCTTGGCTGAGGTGGAGTGGGAAGTAGCAGAGCACATGGCAAGTGGCCCTGAAACAAAACCCCAGGGGCTGCTGCTACCACGGGACATGGACTGGTTAAGGACCAGGCCTGAAGCCTGCAGGCCAGCCCCAACCTCTAGCTGCGTAGCCTGCTAGGACAAGCACCAGGCCCTGCTAAGGTCAGCACAGGCCGTGGCTCCCCTGGATCCACCACCAGCAAGGCTTCCTGACCTCAGCAAAGGCTGGGGTTTGCTTTTGAGATGATTAAGAATCATAGAATGTAAGAATCTGGTTGGCATTTGACCAGCTCCACTCAGACAGCTGAAACTGTAAAATGGAAGCGTCAGGCTTATAAAGGCCAGGAATGTAATTGAGGCTCCAGACATCTAGAGACCCAGACTCATGGAGACTTTCTCTTGGCAAGAACTTGGCAGACAGTCTTTGGGAAGACATGTGCAGACCTCCTGGAAAGAACTTCCAGACTGTAGACCTCCCAGAGCCTCCCTCGCCTCTAATTTCTGCACCCAACTGCAGTGTAACCACTGCTCCTCTGCCTGCTCCTTTTTATATAGAAAAAAAAATGAAATGTTGGCAAGGGTGAGGTGAAATATGTAGCCTCATTCATTCCTGAGAAAGATTGAATTAGTATCTCTTCTGCAGAGAACTGTGAATTTAGAATATTTACACTGCTTGATACATCTTTCTATTTGGGGAACATGGCCTAAGGAAATGCTTGGAAATACAGATAAAAATCTTTATATATAGAAATGCTCACCAACCAGCTTTTTCTTTATAGTAGCAAATAATTGCAAATGGAAATGAAAACCCTAGGCACTGGTTAAATAAATTACAGTATATACACAAAAGAAATGTAACAATTGATACCAAGATTGTCAAGTTTTTAATGATGTGAAAAATACTTGTGGTATAACGTTAAATGAAGGTACAATATAAAATTCTAGAGATAATGTAATATCACCAAATAAGAAAAATATTAATGAAATATGATGTGAATCCTTGTGTGTGTAGAATAAAATGGAAAAATTATATTGCATCATGTGGAATATTATACAGCAGTGAAAATAATTAAGTTCTAGCTATATCTAACAATGCAGACTAATCTTGCCTACATGTTGTTTAGTGAAAGAGTCAAGATATACAATAAACATAATATGATTTGATTTATTTAAATTCTAAGTACCAGACAAAATTAAAATCATGTTTAATTATGCATTTAGTGATACATACTTAGATGATATATTAAAATGAAGAGCAAAGGAAATAATTTTAATGAAAGTCATATTGATGCTTCCTTATGGAGGAAGAAGATTATGATATGATGTGATTTTGTTATAGAGCAACCCCGATATTAAACGGGTTCCTGGCTGTGGGTCCTCACCCGCGCGCTTTAAAGGGACTTATGAATACTCCACTACAGGCACACACAAAAGGGTTAATAAAAGGTTTATTTACGGGCCTCCCCGGTGGCGCAGCGGTTGAGCGCTGGGTTGCGAAGCTGCCCGCGGCCTCTGCGGCGCCGGTTCGATCCCCGGCTGCTTCCCGGCCACCGGCGGAGGATCCCACATGGCGCACAGACCTCTCCTGTCGCCCGCTGCTCCCCTCAGCAGTGTACTTCGGTCCTTCTGCCTGCTGTGCTCCCCGCTCTGGCTCTGGTGAATTCTCTCACCCTCCCGCGCTTCTGACTGTACCCAGTGCATGTATAAACAAAACAAACAAACAAAATAAATAAATAAAACATGCCTCTATTAAAAAAAAAAAAAAAGGTTTATTTACAAGAGAAAAAGAAATAAGGAAAATGTACAACTCAGGGAGAAAATAGGGAAATAAAGTCTTTAATGCGTCCTACCCCATTGACGACCTGGAAACCCAAAGTCACCCTCAGAGCTGGCCACACGCTGCGAGCTGGCGGAGAGCCAAAAATGGGGGATCCCCAAAGCCCACGTGTCTGCCTTTTGTATCCACCTGGCTGCTTAACCCCACCCTCAGGTCCCAGCCACCTTCCCTTTAGTGGTGATGGGATTTGGAGTTCCCAGTGTCTTTGGCTTTGACCTGGGGTGGGGGTGGAGTCCACAAAGCCTGTATGGAATTTGCTTTCGGACAGCCTTTTCCCCCTAACAATTTGATATTTCTTGACCTGGTGAATGGGAGTTCATTTTGTAATTCTCAAACTCTCCATTTGTACCATCTACCCTTATACACAGGTGCTATATTTCACAATTTAAAATGTTGGGAAATACTGGGAATAAAATAAGCTAGCTCATAAAAGTATCTTTTGATGGAAGAATCATAGTCGAATGTTGTTCATTATGTTTTTTATTACTTTTCAAATTTTCTATAATGTACACACGCCCTTTTATGACCAGAACCGGTCAGCTAAAGCTACTGAAAAGCCATGGCCGAACGCCCTGCCCGCGCGCGTCCATGAAAAGCAGCCGCTGGCGTTTTTACACGTCCGGAGAACTCGGCGGGGGTCCAGGCGGCCTCGTGGTTTTCCCTGCGCCCCCAGGCTCCCCGGAGCAGCAGCACCTGGAACCTCAGTGTCCAGGTGACCTCGCTTTTCAGTGCGGAGGCGCGTCCCGCCTTTACCGCCCGGGCGCGCAGGTGGACAGGCCTCGCGGCGGCCATGGCTTCCCCGCACCGCTCCGCTCCAGCGCGAGGGTCCTACCTGGCCGCGGGGGCGTGGCCACCAGGAGCGGCTCCGCGCTCGCCCCGCCCACCGCACCTGCGCCCCTCTGCCGCGCATGCGCCCGCCGCCCCTCGCGCGCGCCGCGCGGGCTGCCGGGGGCGTGGGGTGAAGTGGCGGCGGGGACCGGCCCCCAGCGCCCGGCGGGGAGGCGCCCGGTGCGCCCTGGCCCGGGGCCTCGCGGCGGGGGCGGGCGGGCCGGGCGCGGCAGGTGAGGCCGGGCCGCGGGCGGTGCGCAGGGCCGCCGGGCCGGCGGGGAAGCGCTGGACGCGGACGCCGGGGGCTCTGGGGCTCATCTGGGCCTGGAGGAGCACACGGTCGGGTCCGGCCCTGTGAGGGTGACCCCCGCGGCCGCGGGCTCGCTGCCGGCTCCTCGTGGCCCTGAGGGCGCACCCGGGTCGGGGCTCCCCTCTGTCCCGCGGGCTGTTTTCACTCCCGCAGGTTTAGGGTGGAGTTTGGGGCGCACGTTGTAAGCTTTCCGGGCTGAGCCCCCTCCCGCCCCAGGCCCGGCAGCGGGAGGGCAGAGCCGGTGCCCGGGTGTGCGCAGCTCGGGGCGGTGAGGGGGGGTCCCCGCCTTCGCCCCAGAGAGGAAGCCCCACTTCTCCCCGCTTCACCCCACTGTGGCCCCGCTGTAAATAGTTGTGTGCAAATTGGAGCTTCAACACCTGTTTCCTGTTTTTCGGGGCATCGGCCCGGAGTGGGGAGGCCCAAGCAGAGGGCAGCGCCATCTGTAACCCGCTGGGAAAGGCCACGCTGCCTGCAGCGGAGACGGGAGCCTGGTCCACTCCACGCGAGCTTCGCGTGTTGCTTATTTAAAATGTTCTCCCTTGCTCTCGTCGTAGCGTGAAGCGGATAGTGGGTTTGGGATTTTTTTTTTAAGATTTATTTATGCATACAAGAGCTGGCGTACAGGCCAGAGATGCAAGGGCGAGGCGGGGGTGAGAGGGTTCTCCAGAGACAGAGTGGGGAGCAGAAAAGGCAGATCTACCGAAATCCACTGCTGAGCGGAGCAGCGGGGAGACAGGAGAGGTCTGCTTTGCCATGTGGGTAGCTCCCTGGCCAGGGATCGAACTCGTGCTGAGACTTGACCCCTTGTGCCACCAGGGAGGCCCTGGGTTTAGTTTTGTGCTTCTGTGGCGACTAGCGACGCTGACAGGCTCTTCTGGAGCTGTGGGCTGTTGGCCCGTGTCCTCTGGAGGAGCCTCTATTCCAGTCCTCGAGTCACTTTCAAAATTGGTTTGTCTTTTTGTTAGTCGTCAAATGCCTCGTGTGTCCTGACCCACAGACTCTTACCTCTGCACACTGAGGCTTCGGGGCTTCTTATTCTTGGCTGAAACCGTCTTTGGAGTAATCCCTGCGCAGAGCGCGCTGATGCACTGATGGGGTTTTCTGCACCAGTGGCAGCCCTGGGAGAAACCCAGGATGTTTCCACAAATTTAATGCAAAATGAAGAGTTTCAGGTGTAGAATGTTAGTAACTGCCACGTATGTTTTATGCTAAAATGTGCAGATTTGCTGAGTAAGCATCATGTCATCTTTGAACGCGTTGGAAAATGTTTGCTACAAAATAAGTAGATCAGAATATTTATGGCAAGGGTTAGTATGTTTTTGGATTATATGCCTAGACGCTAGGATGCAGAGGTTTATCTATTCAGTTGACTAACATGAAAACACTGGCAGTAGGAACTGGCTCCCATTCCTTGAAAGACTTTCTAGGTCACACCACAAATCAAAATGAACTGAAATTAACCAAGTAACTGGGTGGGGGGGGGCACACGTCTCCTCTGTCCGCTGACCCCAAGTGCTGTTCCGGGGTCCATGTCTTTGGGGAGTGTCTCCCCTTCTCCCTCAGTTGGGGTGTTTGGCCTTCAGAGTCCTGTCTCCTGTAATCTTCCCTCCCATCCCCCCCATGGGGGAGCCCCTGAGGGCAGCGGGCTCACCTTTATCATATGCCTCCCTTTAACACCTGCTCCTGAGGCCACTCAGTACATGGTTCTGCGCACCCCCGGGGGTGGCCAGAGCAGGAACTGTGAAGGTGGTTTCAGTCCTGGAGGACCCCGCTGGCATCTGCACCTTCAAGCAAGGCCTGCCCGCCGGCCCCATCTTTCAAGGCCCTCCCTGCTCTGCTCCTCCCCCTCCTCCCCACACCCCCCACTGTACCCCTTAGGCCCTCCCTGTCCCCGGCTCTTTTCTTTCCCTGTCCCCAATGTCACAAACTGAAAGAGCAGCTGATTCGCAGGCCCCACTTCCAAGTGGAGACCCTCCTATCTTTGGACATCTCTGCTGGCGTGGCTCCTCTCCCCGACAGTGCAGACAACTCGCTGACTTTATGACTTTGGGGGTCTGGGGACCTTGGCAGAGATTATGGTGGGTACCTGAGGCTGCTGATACCCAAAACTCAGCCCTGACCACAGCGTCGCCTTCCTCTCTGGGGGCTCTGCCCTGTACGCCACACCCCCCCCCAAAGCTGTATCAACCACTGTTTCCTGCCCGCCCCTTTCTTCTGGTGAAGTCCCAGTAGCTCTGTGAGTGCTCCCCCCAAAGTCCAGTGGTGCCTCATCTCTGATTCCAGACCCTGCCCTGGCGGGAGCCTCTCTCCAAGAGCTGAGACCTTCGCACAGGGGAGCTGCTCCCTTTGGTAGAAGCTGCACAGCCACGGGGCAGCGAGTCTGAGAACCCCGTGGGACCGGGTCATGCTGGGTAAGAGTGGGAAGGGGAACCGGGCCTGTAGGATTCCTGGGGTGCAGTGTCAGGTCACTAGGAAGAGACATGGAGTACCTCCCCAAAGCAGGATGGCGGGAGATTTGTACAATTGTGATCTTTATAAAAACCGTTTCCTAAGAGAAATACCCTGTACCTTCAGCTGGGGCCATTTCTCTTTTGCCTGAAAACATTCATATAATCGATTCTGTGACGTATTTTCTGTTTCAGGCTAATTAACAGCGCCCCTGATGTTGACGAAGCACAGGGTGACCAGGAAGCTCGGGTAAGTGACACTCAGATGCGAGAGCTTTGATTACGACGCATAAATGAAAAACGAATCCATGTTAATAAAAACCATAATCAATGTTGTCATCGTCTCTGAAGATAATCTAATTCGTGGCTCCACCACATAAGTATCTTCTCATTTTGAGAGAAATATTTTATCCCCAGACTGCAATGAAATAAATTGCATACAGGTAGCGAGTCTCCCCTGGACGTGTTACTTTTCCCTGTTGTGGAACATCATAAAACAGAGCATCAGAAAAACCACTTCGGTGTTATTTTTCTAAAAGGACACACTAGATGTGTTTGGGGACGATGAAAGGCTATTCCAGCGATAAAGCGTGTTTATCATGTCGTTATGACACCGGGAGCTACCCCAGCTTCCCTCTCCGGCCTCGAGGAGGGCGTTCCTGCCCCGCGCCCCGGGGACCAGACGGTGTCCCTTGAGTGGTGCTGACGTCCCCGTACAGCACCGGCGCGGGTGCACAGGAGCAGGTGCAGGATTTAAGTGGAAACTTGAAATGGGCAATAAAGGTAGAGCCGGGTCACAGCCCAGGCTCTGGTCACGTGTCTGTGACACCTGCAGCCTCTGTGGCCAGTCACCCGCTGCCGCGCGCAGGCCAGGCTCGCTCGTGTGGGGGCTGTCCTCGCTGAGGCTGGGCTCCCCGGCTCCCCTGCTGGCAGGAGCAAGGGCACGTCACCTCTGCCTGGGCGAGGCTGGCCCCATGTCTTCATCCTGCCCGTGTTTGGCTTGCTGGCGCGCTCTTCCTCGCGCCCCCGTCTGTCTGCCTAACTCTCTTGAGCATCAGTCTCAGCTGCTTCCAGGTAGCCCTGCCTGACCCCCCCAGATGCGTGTCAGGGACCCCTTACCAGGAAGACTGAGGCATCTCAAGCTTCTCCGCCACAGCCCTTGCAGGCTCTGGTGACATTTTGGAAATTCAAACGGAAATGGAGGCAAGCATATTCCATGTCCTCTCGAAAAACAGTTAACCTAAAAATTCTGAGGTCCATGTGGAAGGCTCACGAGTCCCCACAGTCTCAGTGGAAATGTTTGTGATGATATAAATTTTATTTGGTTCGTTTGGTTTCAAAATTGGTGAAATATGTTGAGCCTTAGACTCTTAACATTTATTGTGATTGCTTGGTTGAAATTCACCATGTGAAAAAAGGGGGCGTTGAGGGGAGGGCAGACACTGCGAAGGTGTCCGCGGTGTATGAGGCACATTCTTTCCTTGACAGCTGACAAATTCATTTAAAGTGAAATATTTTGAGGGGAAAAAAAAACCCCTTTTTAAAATGGGGGTTTAAATATTGTTGGCCTTTGTATGGTTCCTTTAAATGCCCCTGGCTGTTCCCAGAGGGGACTTTTTTTTTTCTTTCTTCTTGGTGCTCCTGACCTTGGATGGTTTGCAAGCTTGCCCTGAAGTAAGGACACTGTGGAGCTGCCACACAAGTGCACATGAGTGTGTTAATGCCACAGTCTTCCCTGATGCCGGTGGGGTCTCTGCTGAATGAACCAGGGTTTGAGCCCTAGGTGAGACAGAAAGTGAAAGCCACAGTTGAACAATCAACTATGATCTTGTTTGCCAGGACACTGGATTTATACTGACCTGTGACAGCTTGAGCTGGACACGGGAATTTAATTCTATTCTGTTCTATTCTTTTTTTAAAGATTTATTTATTTAGGAGCCTCCCTGGTGGCACAGTGGGTTAAGACACAACCTATAAAGCTGTCTGCAGCCACAGCAGTGCGAGTTCGATCCCCGGCAAGGGAGCTTCCCACATGGTGCAGCAGACCTCTCCTGACTTGCCCACTGCTCCCCTCAGCAGGGTATTTCAGTAGATCTGCCTGTTCTGTTTCCCACTGTGTCTCTGGTGAGTCCTCTAACCCCCCACCCCCTGCATCTCTGGTCTGTACCCCAGTTCTTGTATGCATAAATAAATAAATCTTTAAAAAAAAAAAAAACAACAGGCAGACTGACTGAAACACACTGCTGAGGAGAGCAGCGGGGGGACAGGAGAGGTCTGCAGTGCCATGTGGGTCAGCTCCCTAGATGGGGATCGAACTTGTGCTGCAGTGGCTTTATAGTGCAGCGTCTTAACTCCTTATGCCCCCAGGGAGGCCTATCTGTTCTGTTCTTTTTTTTTTTTTTTTATTTTTGTAAAGGCATGGAACCAGCCACAGGGATGAGCTTTCAGTTATATAAAATTTTGTTTTATGAAATACCTTGGCCCCATTCATTATTTTGTCCTGCTCCTCCCGTAGGTGTAGACAACCTTCTTGTTTTTGGAAGCTGGAAGGGCCCAAACTTTGAAGTAGTGTTTTGTTTTCACTGTTTTATTTTTAATTGAAGCTGTATACAGCTGTGAATTAAACAGAATAAATTTCTAAATTTAACAATGAAGAAAAGGTGCAAAGGTTTTTTACTTGGGTTTAAAAGCTAGCCCGGAGCACAGGTTCAGGCTAGAAACCCAAACCCCCTCACTAAAAAAAAAAAAATGAGGTGAACTTGACATTAACTCCAATGCTGCTGCTCTGTGTGACTAGCAGGAGGCCATGTTTCATCCTAAAATGTTTTTCTGTAACCACATGGAATTCTTAAGACTTTTTAAAAATTACTTTTGGTAATTTTACCAATGGAGTTTTCATCAGCTTCTGTTACTGGTCCTGATAGTGACAGGGACTTGTGTATAGTATAGAAAATGTGAAGAGTAGAATAAAATAGAATGAACAGTATCAAAAAATGCTCTTACAACCTAGTATGTTTCCTTCCTAGTTTTTTCCCCAATATTTGCAGTTGTGAAATAGAATGCCTGTGTAGAAGGTAGGTAGTAGCTGGAGAATTATAAAATGAGCTTCCATTAAATAGATCAAGAAATGTAAAGTCACATCATATCATGATCTTCCTTCATAAGGAAGTCCCTATATGGCTGTCCCTAAATTTTTTTCTTTGCTTTTCATTACAGATCTTAGGTATATATCACTGCATATATCATTAAAACGTGATTTTAATTTTGTCTGGTATTTAATATTTAAAGAAATTAAATAATGTTCTGTTTCTGTCTTGACACTCAACAGTATGAAGACAAGACTAGTCCATCAACAGTATGAAGACAAGATTAGTCCATATTTTGGATGCAGCTTGAGACTTATTTCCACTGCTGTATAATATTCCACTCAATGTACAGCTGTTGTTTACTTTGTGTTCTGCTCACATAAGGGTTAAGGAGAGTGTGCTTACATCATCGCTAAAATTTTATGTTCTACTTCATCATTTAAACTGCAATATAAGTACTCTCCACATCATTAAAAACTATTCAGTGTTAGTGTATCTATCTAGTTTTTACATTTAATGTTGTATATATTGGGTGTTTTTATTTAGATGGTTTCAAATCATTTTACTGTAAATAAAGTGTTGGTGAACATTTTTACACATAAGGATTTTTTATCTGAATTTGAAAACATTTTCTTTGGTTATTTCAAAAATAAAATTATTATTGCCATTAAAAATGCAAGTATTTTAAATTTAAAGTTCCCTGCAGAGGGGTTTTGAATTTATTTTTCAGGAATAGTGAGGACAGATTTCCTAGTCTCATTAACATTTTAGTCTATCCATTTTTTCTCTTCAAGGCTCTGGACACAAATTTCCACCATGCTCTGCTGCTCCTGCCTCCGTGCTGGGCCCTCCCCTTCCCCGTGGGCTGTCATGGCTGTTCTCCACTTGACTCTGCCCCACAGGCCCCCCTCGTGGTACCTGAGTTTGGCCACCTGGGCCTTTCCATCCTCACATTTGGCCACTTGTCAAGGATTTACTGACAAGTGCTACTGATTGCCACCAGGTGGCGCCCTCCCCATTATTTTTCTCATGGTCCTCGCTGCCCTTCCCATTGCCCTGAAACACTTTTCTGCATCTTATTTACAGTCCACCTCTTATCCACAGTTTACCTCGTTCCTCCTCCCATTTCCCGCCTTACTCTCCCCCTTTCTCACGCCTCCTGGCGCTTTACCTTACCCATCCCACTGTCATCATCCTGCATTTCCCCCATTATACCTCCGGGCCACAAGGCGGCGACACCCGCGCCTTCATTATCGCAACAGGGAGCTGCTCTTGGCGCGGCCACTTCCCCTCCAGCTGGCGTTTCTGGACTCGATTTTCCCACGATGCCACCCCGGTCCACAAGGCGGCGACACTTGCTTGTCTAACCCCTTTATTTCGCCCTCCCCCCTCCGCCCCCGCAGCCACTCTTGGAGCGGCCACTTCCGGGCCTGCTCGCGTTTCGGTCCGTAATTTTCCCACGATACCACCCCGGCCCACAAGGCGGCGACATTCGCTCTTCTCGCCGCTCTATTTCGCCCCCCGGGAGCCGCTCTTGGCCACTTCTGGCCCCTCTCGCGTTTCGGTCTGCAATTTTCCCACGATACCACTCTGGTCCACAAGGCGGCGACACTCGCTCGCCTCGCTCCATTATTTTGCTGCCAGGAACCGCTCTTGGCGCGGCCACGTCCCCTCTGCCTGGCGTTTCTGGACTCAATTTTCCCACGATACCACCCCGGTCCACAAGGCGGCGACACGCGCTCCCCTAACACCTTTATTTAGACCCCCCCCCCCCAGCCGCTCTTGGCGCGGCCACTTCCGGTCCCGCCTGCGTTTCGGGCCGCGATTTTCCCACGATACCACCCTGGTCCACAAGGCGGCGACACTCGCTCTTCTCCCCGCTCTATTTCGCCCCCAGGGAGCCTCTCGCGGCCACTTCTGGCCCCACTTGCATTTCTGGCCGCGATTTTCCCACAATACCACCCCGGTCCACAAGGCGGCGACACTCGCTCGCCTCGCTCCTTTATTTTGCTGTCAGGAAATGCTCTTGGCGCGGCCACTTCCGGTCCTGCTAGCGTTTCTGGACTAGATTTTCCCACGATACCACCCCGGTCCACAAGGCGGCGACACGCGCTCTTCTCACCGCTTTATTTCGCCCCCCTGGAGCCGCTCTTGGAGCGGCCACTTCTGGTCCCTCTCGCTTTTCGGTCCGCAATTTTCTGACGATATCACTGCGGTCCACAAGGCGGCGACACTCGCTCTTCTAGCCCCTTTATTTTGCAGTCGGAACCTTCTGGTCCCGCTCGCGTTTCGGGCCCCGATTTTCCCACGATACCACCCCGGACCACAAGGCGGCGACACTCTCACTTCTCGCTCCTTTAGTTTACCCCCTGGGAGCCGCTCTTGGCGCGGCCTTTCACGTTCCGCCTGGTGCATCCTGGGAGCCTCAGAGTGATGACGTAACCGCCGAGGGCGCACTTAAAGGGCCGATACAGCAAAAGGCTGATAAAGTACCTGCCAGTGGACTGAAAGCGCCGCTGGCCGTTCGGGACAATGGCGGGAGCTGAGACAAGTGAGGACCGAACCGCGAAGCAGGGGGAAGGCGGGAATCTTGACTAAGAAAGCGGGACAGAACAAATGGTGGTGCGAAGCAGGGGCCGAGGGCGGGAGGCTTGACCAGGAAAGCTGGAGAGAACAAATGACGGCAGCAGAGGAAATCTGTCCTCATTATTCCTGAGAAATAAGTTCACAACCCCTCTGCTGGGAACTTTGAATTTAAAATACATTTTCAATGGAAGCAATAATTTTATTTTTGGACATGACCTAAGGAAATGTTTTCAAATTCAGATAAAAAATCTTTATGTGTAAAAATGTTCCCCAACACTTTATTTACAGTAAAATGATTTGAAACTATCTAAATAAAAATAAAACCCCCCAATATATACAAAATTAAATGTAAAAACTAGATACAATAACACTGAAGAATTTTTAACGATGTGGAAAGTACTTATATTAGTGTTAAATGTTGAAAGTGGAAAATTCTAGCAATGATGTAATTCCACCACAGAAGGAAAATATTAATGAAACATCCTCTCCTTACCCCTTATGTGTGAGTAGAACACAATGTAAACAATTGCATCGAGTGGACTGTTATACAGCAGGGAAAATAAAATCTAGCTGCATCCAAAATGTGGACTAGTCTTGCCTTCACACTGTTGAGTGACATCCAAGGCAGAAACAGAACATGATTAATTTAAATACTAAATATTAGACAACATTTTAATGATACATGCAGTGATACATACCTAAGATATGTAGTGAAGAGCAAAGAAAAAAAATTAGTGACAGCCATACAGGGGCTTCCTTATGGAGGAAGATCATGCTATGATGTGACTTTGCATTCCTTTGCCTATTTAATGGAAGCTCATTTTATAATTTTCAAGCTACTACCTACTGTTGCGAGCCAACCTCAGCAGTCTGGGTGTCAGGGGTTCCTGAAGGATGGGAAGGCGTCGGCGCAATTGTAGGAAGGGGAATGAGGAGACGCAGACACTTGATCAGGGTGTTGACATCATCCTGCTGAGAGTCTCAGCAACCCTTTATTTATACATTTCAAGCAAACCATGAGTGCATAAGCATATGCATTAAGGCAGGAAGATAACAATCATCACATCATTCTCAAGAACAGTCAAGTGTCTATTTGCCCACCTGCAGAGATCATGACATTTATTATTTTTTGACTTAAAGAAGGTACAGTTGCTCAACAAAAGTGTTCTTAGAGTAGTCATTTACTTTAAACAACCAAACAGTCATTTTATTACTAGCAAAAAGCTTACTCTACTACTGCAAGTAACATTTCTATGTTTGCCATAGTGAAGGATTAACTAAGGGCTAGGGGAAACAAAGGGCAGGAAGTTACCTGGGGGAAGGGAGACAAAGGAATTTTTTCTAACTAAACTACAAAGTTTAGACTAACATATAGCCAAATGATTAAAGCAAAAAACAGAAGGCTTTTATTTAGAAATTATCATCTATATTGTTTTAGCTTGACCAGTCATAAAATTGCTATTGTCTTATTCTTGAATGCATACTCTAACAGCTACCATACCAATTGTCACCTCCAAGGGAATCAGCCCTAAACAAACAGGAAGAATTTAGCAGGAGTCAGCTATGGCGCCTCCTGGCTTATTAGAAATTTTCTTACACAGAAATTTTCTTACACTTGGAGCATGGATCACGTCTGCCACCCAACTGCTATCTTTAAAGTAACAGAATTTCCTTCTCCATTTAGCCCTTGCCTCAAAAGACCACATCTCCATATTAAAGACTTGGCCAAGGGATGTTTATAGCCTTTTGTTCCTAGAAGTTTTTTCACTTGTTAATGTAAGGCCAAATGTTGACTGCCTTTTGGCAGAGAAAGACCAATTTTATAAAAAAATGTAATAATTGTATTATGCAGTGCCATTTGCCATCAAATTGGTTATTCAGTAATTGATAAGTATTTGCAGTTTTAAATGCGTATTTTTAGCAATGACAGAAACTAGCCATAAACAAATGAGGAGAATCTTGGAGTCAGCTAACGAGATTCCTGATTTTTCAGAAATCTGCCCCAGGCCCAGACTTTTGTCAGACGAGTAGCGTGGCTCCCAATAACCTACCTTCTACACAGGCATCTATTTCACAAGTGCAAATATTGGGGAAAAAACTAGGAAGGAAACGTGCTAAGTCAGAGTACTTTTTGATACTGTTCATTCTATTTTATTCTAGTCTTCACATTTTCTATACTATACACAAGTCCCTGTCCACTATCAGGACCGGTAACAGAAGCTGATGAAAACTCCATTGGTAAAATTAACTCCTTGCTCCTTGGCAGGGGAAAGTAATTTTAAAAAGTCTTAAGAATTCCATGTGGTTACAGAAAAACATTTTAGGATGAAACATGGCCTCCTGCTAGTCACACAGGTGAGGGCAGAGCAGCAGCATTGGGAGTTAATGTCGAGGTCACCTCATTTTTTCTTTAGTGAGGGGGTTTGGGTTTCTAGCCTGAACCTGTGCTCCAGCTAGCTTTTAAATCCAGAAAAACAACTTTTGCCCCTTTTTTCATTGTTAAATTTAGAATTTTATTCTGTTTAATCCACAGTTGTATACAGCTTCAATTAAAAATAAAACAGTGAAAACAAGACACTACTTCAAAGTTTGGGCCCTTCCAGCTTCCAGATACAAGAAAGTTGTCTACACCTACAGGAGGAGCAGGACAAAATAATGAATGGGGCCAGGGTATTTCATAAAACAAAATTTTATATAACTGAAAGCTCCTCCCTGTGACTAGTTCCTTGCCTTTACAAAAAGAAAAAAAAAAAGAACAGAATAGAATGGAATTCCGTTCTATTCCAGCTCAAGCTGTCACAGGTCAGTATAAATCCAGTGTCCTGGCAAACAAGATCATAGTTGATTGTTCAACTGTGGCTTTCACTTTCTGTCTCACCTAGGGCTCAAACCCTGGTTCATTTAGTGGAGACCCCACAGGCAGTAGGAAAGATGGGGGCATTAACACACTCATGTGAACTTTTGTGGTAGCTCTACAGTGGCCTTATTATAACAACATGTTCTCTGTAACATAAGCCAGCTTTATCGCCGGAATATTATTTCTTCATCTTCCTCAAACACATCTAATGTGTTTT